TGGAGGGATGCCCCAACACGGGGTTCCAGCCCGAGTGTGTGTGTTGGGGGGTACCCCGTGGGGAAGCGAGGCCTTAGAGGGACAGAGCAGGGCCTGGGTGTCAGGCTCCCCAAGTTCACGTCCCGCCCCCCTGGTCCTTACACCGTGCAGCTCCTCCATCGGAATCGGGAAATGTTACTGAATTTCATCGATTCTAAGGCTCACATTTTAACATCTCTAAAATCAGGAGGCATCTTTCCGCCCCTGCGCTAAGAAACCAGCGCGTCTTCGGCGTTTTTTGTCTTTTTTAGTGGTATGTAAGTCAGCGTATGTGGTATGTATATCAGCGCCTCTTAAGATAGATGTTGTGTTAGATTTGAAGAACTATAATCGTAAAACCTATTTTATTTCATGGGATTGTTGTGAAGATTAAATGCGCTTCGCGTGAGCCTTGCTTGGTGTGCCAGCTCAGGGAGGGTTTAATTGATTTAGGCTTCCTTCTCTTTTCCTTCTTCCTCTTTGAATCCCTTTGTTTGGTGCCAGCAAGTCCTCAGTAAGCGTGACGCTGCGGCTGCTGGTGATGGTGATGGTGTCACCTATGGCCAACCCAAGGCTGGTTAAAAGTTCTGTAAAATAAACTAAATGGAAGCAAACTGCTTTGGCCTAACCCAGGCCTCTTTTCCTAAAGATAAAGGAAAAGGGCGTTTTAAATTGTACTAAGCTGTACAATGTGAGAGACTCTGTTCATTAGGTTCGGTGTGACAACAGTCTGGCTCTATGTTGTTAAAATATTTCCGCTTCTGTTGGGAAGCTGCCAGCTCTCATGGATTTAATAACTTCAGGGCAAGAAAAACAAGAAAACAAAAACACTGCTCTGAGAGAATTCGCCACTCCACTCTTCTCATAAAGTAGATAATTTAATGGGGTCAGAGCTTTGGCTTTTGAATTCTCTTTAAAATTAATCAATCCACGTAAAAGACAGAGAGGACGACTCATGCTAATCAAGGAGAGGAAGGGAGACATTTTCAAAGCTGTGGCTTTCAAATAAAGTAATTTAGTAGTCTAGGAATGTAGCGTTTTGTCTTCTCGTGGTTACTGATAAGTGGTCAGCGTATTTGTGATCCTCGGTTCCCCTGACGTTTACTGAGCGCCCCCTGTGTCCGGAGCGGCATCGGGGGAAGACGGCGCCGGGCCAGGCGGGGCTCTGGCTGCAGGTAGTGAGTGTAGAAGGTATGGAGGTGCTGGACAAAAGTGTGGGGTACACAGCCAGCCCCTCAGAGCGCTCATCGCCACTGTGTCCTGAGATCAGGGCAGGGGTCCCCAGGAGCAGGCCAGCTCCAGCTGACGTGTGCTGCATGTCCCCAAAGGACGGGATGGGACCTGTCAGTGCCCAGTGACCCTGCCAAGAGTCGAAGGGGCCCACCAACCTCCTGGGACCTGTGAGCCATTCCGGTTCATGCCCTGCCTCTGGAAGGAGTGGGGTCAGAGGCCCGGGTGGGACCTGGCTGCGCCGGCCAGGAGCGCTTGCTAATCAGAGTCCAGGAACAAGCACTCGCTTATGTGGTCATTTTAAGGTTTTCCTTTTTAATAGTACAGGGTAGCCGGTTAAAATCTGGCAAATAATTAGAGCTTGAATGCTCAAACCCCAAACTTCTGTGACTTTCCTTGTGCTGAACACGTCGTTCTCCCTTTGAATTCTTTTGTTAAGGACGAGGGCACAGTAATTGGGCCTAAAAAGGCATCCAAATTATAGCATCTTCGTCGCAATGAGATGACAACATAATGATGATTATATTTCAGGGTATAAGATACATTTTTTCTTATTAGCCCGCTATAAAAAATGAAACTAGCTCCTTTGTTGTTATTTTGGCAGATTAACAATTCTTAATACTTGAGGAGTTTAGCCTGATCCCACACTTCTGCATGTGTTGGCATCTTGCTGCTTATTCGCTGCTGTACGAACATCCCTGGAGAGCACAGCCTCCCTCCTCACCAGCCCTGGGGCATTCACAGGGCAAGTTCATGAGGGAACACTGTGTCCTCTGCCTGCCCTCCTGGGACAGGCTGCGCTCACATACGGGATTGCATCATGGGTAGCAAAACAGAACTCACCCACTGGCCCTGCTCGGAGAGTTTCGTGGTTCTGGTGGCTGTTGTGTGGCTGTGCTCCCTACCCGTGCTGACCCTGAAGGGCCACACGGCACTGCAGAGCCCCCGGGCCTGGCTCAGGTGAAGCTGGCTTCCACTCTGAGCCTGCGCTTGCCTGGCCCTATGTGTGGCTGAGGGGAGGTCAGCCTCTCTGAATGTCAGTCCTGCACCTGCAGAACAAAAATAATGAGGCCTGGCTGGCCGGGGGAGGGGCACTGCATGAGCTAATGTTGTGGAGGGAGGCCTTGAGCCCGTGTCTGGTGCACCCTGCCGCCCGAGTGACCTTCCCAGGACCGCTTGGCCAGCTCCTGGCTGCCCTTCCCTGGAACGGTCAAGTGCCTCCTCCCGGAAGCCTTCCACGTCCTTCAGCCAAGGATTCCTCCGCCTGCCTTCCGCCCACAGTGTTTATGATTTGCAGCGTGCGCTTTGGCTCACACGGCTGTTGGATAGTCATGTACCAGGCTGGGGGATGCGGTCTTGAACGTGACGCTGGCCTTGCCCTAGCAACTCCGAGCTCTCACTCAGGACTGTGCCCTCACTGCTGTATTTGTCTATCGCCTTGCTTTTTAGAAGGCCTAGCCATCTTTTCAATGTTTAAAACTTATATAGGCTCATTGTAGAAAATACATAAGTGATTAAAAAAAAAAAAGCTTGACAGTCAGGATTTTGGTGTATTTCCTGGCTGGCTACTCATCCGTCCATCCATTCATAAATAATGTCTATCTATTAGTAACAAAATCAAGTACCCACTGAAGAGTCGTGGGTCCCACTCTTTGGCATTTAACATTCAGTATGTGCATTTTCCCATGCCATGCAAGATTCTTTGGAAGTATGCTTTTCAGCGCCTGTACCAAATTTCTTTGTGGGGACGTGTAGCAATATGCCCACTGCTGGCACAGATACCTCTGTTTTGAGTATCTCTGTGCACAGTCCCTATTGCATTTTGGACCTTACGAAAGCGAGATCTTGAGAAGTAGAACCACCAGTCAGAAGTTACAAGCGCGCGTCTGTGAGGCTGTTGTCCCCTTTGCTGGTGGCAGCCAGAGCCCACGACCCTCATGCACACCTGCGTTGCAGAAGCAAATGGTGTTGGGCCCCGGGCTGGGACAATGAGCCGGCCCTCTGGACACCTTCCAGCAGGCCTCTGAGGACAATGAACTGAGGACACTGCTCTGCCAGCCGGAGCTGCGGAGGCTCGGGAAACACTGGCCTGTGTCCTCGGTGACCTATTCCTTCCTACAGCATGTGCCGCCCTGCAGACGAGGCCCCTGGTGGTTTTTATGATTTCCGTACAGGGGCTGGCCCCATGTCACAGCCTGCATTGCACGGCTGAGCCCTCAGTTATGTGACAGTCATCCTAAATCACATGTGCTGATCCCCGCCTGCACCTGGGGAACTCCAGGTCCAGTCCCCACACCTACAGAGCTGGACACACAGCGGACATGGGGGAAACATGTGCTAATTGATAGCAGATGGTCAGAGCCTGGTGCTGCCCTGGGCTGCTGAGTCTCTGGGTTGCGTGGACTAGCTAGATAGTCGTTTGCTCACAGCAGTCTCCCTCACTTTGTCTGCGTAGCTGCGAAGCCAATTTTATTTATTCAGTCCCCAGATAATGCTTGGTGTGTCTGTGAACTAAGAGACCTCCTGCAATAGCTCTGATCCCCACAAGTTCTGCTCTGCTAAATGTCACAGAATTCCCTGTCTTGTGAAAGCACAACAGCAATCAAGAATACTTGCAGGTCCATTGGGAAATGGTTTCAGTAAAAACCCAAAATACAGTTGTTCTGAGATGGTTCTGCCTCCCTGATGAGCTGGTGGCCTCTGTGGCGGGGCCTCCTCATTCTTGATTCATCTCTGTGTCCCCAGTTCCTGCAGTGAGACCCACCCCATGGCTGCTGCTTGATAGATGCTGCCATGAACAAGACAGGAACTGATAAGTGATTTGGGGGTTCTGCCCTTCTCTGTAATGATTGTCATTTCAGATATTGTTGAGAAATTATGTTAGCTTTAACGCGGTGGAACTCAGCCCATGGTCTGTGGACACATAGCTCCTGTCATGAGCAGGTGGCGGCGTCTGGTCTCTGCTTGCTCTTGTCCTCCCTCAGTCTCAGGTTCCTCGCCTGCAGAGCGGGGATTGCAGACCCGTTTTTGCCTAAATGACGGGATCATGGGAGGATCAGCAGGTAGCACACTGAATGCAGCATGGCCTCGTACAAAGAACACGTCTTATGCAGCCCCTTCTTCTTTGGGAAGCAGCTTGGGTTCCTTAGGAATAAAGCATTTCTTGGAAAACAAAAAATATTGATTTACAGTGTTCACGAGAGACCTTCATCGATGAAGCACTATTCTGCTTTGTCTTAGAAACACAACAGATCCCCGTCCTCCGTGTCCTTCGTTCCTGTGCCAGCCAGTGAAAGGGGTCTTGGCTCTTGAGACATGCTATTTTGCTCATTTTTCCCTCGCACCTAATTTAAGAGAGTCTAGCTAGATGAGAATACTTAATTGCCGTGAAGTTCATTCATTTAAGGGTTACATATAATTTTCCCAGTTCCACATTCGTTTTTTACTTTGCTGGTCGATGCTGGAATCTCGGCTGTGGAGTAGATTTGGGCAACAGGGAGGTTCATATTAGACCCTGCCCAGAGGACTGAGGACGTGAATCCTGAAGAAAGAAGTTTCTGGTAGCTGGGCCACTGGAAGTTAGACATGTGCTGTGCAGGTGCCCACGAGAGCGACGTAACTTGTCGGAGGCTGGCGATTGCTCAAAGGGGCAGCATTCAATATTTTTCTTACACAGTTGGAAGTAATTGTTTCTGTGAAGATGAAATAACATATATATATATATTTGTTTGTTTGTTTGTTTTTTCTTACAGAAAACACAGCCATCTTCATGTGTAAATGCTGTAACCTTTTCTCACCAAGTCAGTCAGAACTCCTCTCCCACGTTTCTGAGAAGCACGGGGAAGAAGGGGTTAATATTGATGAGATCGTCATCCCCCTGAGGCCTCTGAGTACTCCAGAACCTCCCAACGCAAGCAAAACGGGAGATGGTAAGGGGGCCCAGGGTGCTGGGTGAGGACCACGCCCACGGGTGTGCATGTCTGTGATGATACTGATTTGCTCTCAATTCCTTTGATTCTAGGTTTCTGTCTGGTGGGCATAGAAACCTAGAAAATCCAAATTCCCAGCCCAGAAGGCACAATAAGTGTCTAATTATAGATCTGCTCAAATAAGGTGTTTCTTTGAATTCCCTGTACTTAGCCCCTGTAGGTGCTTCTCCAGTGCCTGGTTCGTGGGTGGGTGGGTGGGTGGATCGATAGATGGATGGATGGATGAATGGATGAGTGAATGAAGGTGGCACCATCCAATACTATAAAAAGCATGAACTTGTTGTCAGATAAGTGTGGGTTTAACCCAGCTCCAGCACCTGCTAGCTCCATTACCTGAAGCAAATTATATTAGTTCTCTAAGGCTCACTTTGCTTATCTGAAAAAATGAAGACAGATCTACCTGTCTCCAGGGGGGCTGCGAGGATTAGAGAACATACCTACAACACCTAGGAAGACGCCTGGCACAGAGAGGACAATAAAGGGAAGCTGCTACCATCACATACACGGTCAGAAAGTGAGTGTATGTGATCTTAGAAACAGCGTTTCTGAGCTGATCATGTGTACTTAGAACGAGGATCAGTTGCAGAAAGCTTTGATTTGCGCAGAATCCTTCATGTTCGGTCCACGTGCCACATGAGATACGTCTTACCTACAGTGTCCGGACACCCCCACTGAACCGTGTCGGTTCTAGCAGGTACCTGGGTAGATTAGGGAGAGCGTCCAGGCACTGTAATTAGGTCCCCACAGACAAAGGAAATTTATGGTACCGGAGGAACAGCTGCAGATGCGAGTGAGGAGAAAGCCTCCACACCACTATTTCACATGGTAGGGGACAGCACCAGCGTCCCGTGCAGAAGCATAGTCTGTGGCAGTGATGGTCCCTCCGTGGGATTCGTTAGTCACGCTAATGATCTGATGGCTCTTGCCTGGGAATATTCAAGTGCATTTCTAAACAGTCCAGCTTATTGATTATCTGTTTGACACCGTCAACAAAGAGACTCCAGGCCAAAGAGGCTTTGGTGAACGCATCCCTCTGGCCAGTTCCTGCGTGCTCAGAGAGGTGGACCTGACAGAGCATCAAGGTGTGGAGAAGTCAGGAGAAGCTCTACTAGTCGCTGTTAGTGGCGGAAAGTGGCCACTAAGAGAATCCAGCACCTTCACGTAGACATGAGGACCATGTATTTACATTGTGGTCACCGTCGTCTAATTCCGGTGACGTGTCCGTGGCTTTCCTTGGCCCCGTCCCAAGCCTGTGAACACATCTGTCTCTCCGCACTTAGTGGAAGCAGGGGTGAGGCGGGAAGTCATATAGAGTCACGTCTCAGCTGGTAGCTCCCACTTGAAATTCTCTTTGCTTTGGGGAGGGGTGGGGCAAAGGTCTATGCTGGCTGTGAAGACTCTACCAAATAACCCGATGAAAAAAAACGGGCAAAAGACCTGAATAGACGTTTTCCCAAAGAAGATGCCCAGTGGCTGCTAACAGGTACATAAAAGGGTGGTGAGTATCACTGATCAGTAGGGGAGTGAAAATAAGTACTACTGTGAGATTGTCAGCTCACACCTCTTTGCATGGCTGTCATCAAAAAGACAATAGATAATAAGTGTCCCTGAGGCTGTGGAGAAAAAGGAACCCTTAAACACTGCTGGAGGGAATGGAAATGGGTGCGGCCACTATGGAAAGTAGTATGGCGGTTCCTCAGGCATTAAAGACAGGACTATTATATGATCCAGCAATCCATCCTCAGGGCGTCTACACAAAGGAAATGAGATCAGTGTCTCAGAAAGATCCCAGCACACCCATGTTCCTTGCAGCGAAATTCACAATAGACAAGCTATGGAAACAACCTACGTGGACAGATGAATAGATACGGAAAATGTCACGCACACACACACGCACACGCACACAGGAAGATTACTCAGCCATAAAAAATAAGGAAGTCCTGCCATTTGCAACAACATGGATGAACCTGGAGGGCGTTATGCTGAGTGAAGCTAGCCAGACACAGGAAGACCAATACTGTATGATTCCACTTCCATATGGAACCTAAAATAGCCCAGTTCATAGAAGCAGAGAGCAGCCCGTCGGCTGCCGTGGGGTGGTGGTGGGGGGGGGAGCTGTTGATCAAAGTGTACGAACTGTCAGATTAGATCTGGGACTTCATGCGCAGTGTGGTGACTCCAGGTAATAACACTGTGTCATATACTCGAAATTTGCTAAGATAGTAGATCTCAAGTGTTCTCGCCACACATAAAAAATGCTTACAATGTGAGGTGATAGACGTGTCAGTTTACTTGATTGTGGGAAGCACTTCACAGCGTATATGTGTATTAAATCGTCTTGTTGTGCACCTTAAACACATTGTACAACCTAAATATATACAATCTTTATTTGTCAAAGACGTCTTAATAAAGCCAGAAAAAAAAAATCTGCCTCGTGATTGGAGCCTCAAAGCTCAGCCACCCCTCCCTCTGCCGCTCAGCCTGGGAGTGAGTGAGGCTCGTCCATCGTGACCTTATTGGAAGGACCTTGGGGACCCCATGGTCATCTCCCTGCCGAGCAGTTAAGATGCGTTGGGTTTCCTGAGAGTGTAGCTTACCAGATAGATGGATCCAAAGCATTAGTCAAGAACTTTAAATGTTTGTATACCTTCCTCTGAGGTGGAATATCTATAAACTCAAAAAAGCAGATAATCTTTTCTGTAAAATTCATGCGGCAGATAAAAGTCATAAGGATTAACATGTAAAGAACTTAGAGAAAGGCTGTTACAAAGCTTCTAAATCTATTTTTATTCAGCTTTGCTTATTACAGTTTTCTTCCTACTCAAATGAAATGTGAATAAGAGATAAAATAATCTGAACTTTTCATTTTGTTTATAAATCATGCAGGAGTAAGCGATGATAAAGCAGGTGGAATTTCACATGGAATTACACGCGTGGGTGTTTTAGAGGGTGCATGCGTTCTGTCTTCCACCCTGTCCCTCCGTACTGATGTTAGTGGAAGCACCCCCTCAGAGATCCCCCTGCACTGCTCCCCACCTTTGTCTCCCCTGCACCCAGCCCACCATGTCCTCTCACCCCCATTCCACAGCCACCTGCCCTTCACCCTGCCTGCGAAGCCCCTGCAGGTGGCTTTGCCTGGCTCACCTGCCTGTTTCTAAGGCTCATGCAGCCTGAGGTTGCTTCCAGGAGCCCTTTCCTTCAGCCTGCGTGGCCCTGGAGGCCCTTCTCTGGGCTCCTACATCCTCAAACACATCTCAATTCTGTCCTTCCTAAAGGCACTTTCACTGCCTTTGTCCCTTCCTCTCGCTTGCCAGGGGACACCCGAGGAAGGGATGTGGGCTGCGTCGGCCCTTTGACCCCAGTCCTGTCTCAGGTCCTGGCACAGGGTCCATCCCTTTCCATGATTTCCATGATGACTGAACCCATCACTTTCTGCTGTTGTTTGTTTTCTTATCTCTGGCTTTGCTGCCCTTCTGTCTTCCAGAGGGTTCTTCCCACCTGCATCCCTCACCCAGTGGCTCCCCCTCTTCCAAACCAGAGCTCCCCAAACTCCTTAGACCCGGGAACCCTTCTGCCTTTGGTGGCGTGAATTCACAGGTGGGGCCTGTTCTTCCCAGGCCCCAGGAACAGCTGAACGGGATGCCTAGACCCCAGGCCTTTCTCCTCTCTGCTGCTGCAGGTGGACACATCCCTGCAAAGCTCTCCTTCACTCCTTTGGTGCTTCTCCTGGGCCAGGCACCGTGTAGGTAAACCCATCAAAACAATTACATTGTTCCTTTATGCTTTGTTTTTCTCAGTTACAAAAGTAATAACACCTTGCTGCAAAGGTTAAAACAATATAAAATGAGGAAGGCAAATATCCCTAACTGTCCCTCCAAGTTCCTCAGTGGATGGTCTTTGCACCTTTATCAAAAATCATATGTGTGGGTGTAATCCGGGATTCTCGGTTCTGTGCCATTAACGTACATGTCTGTCCTCAGGCCGGTAGAATACTGTGTGGATGACTGTGGCAAGTGCATGTCCTCTAAGTTTGTTCCCCTTTTTCAAGACTGCTTTGGCTGTTCAGGGTCTCTTATAATTCTATATGTTTTTTACATGTTTCTTCAAAACAGGCAATTGGAATTTGATAAAGACGTCGTTCAATCTGTAGATCAGCTTGGGGACTGTTGCCATCTTAACAATTTTAACCCTTACAATCCATGAACATGGGATCTCTTTTTGTTTATTTAGTCTTTAGTTTCATTCAGCAATGTTTTGTAGTTTTCAGAGCACAAGCCTTCTACCTCCTTAGTTATCTTTATTCCTAAGTATTTCATTTTTCTGATGCTGCTGTAAATGGTCATAACTTTCCTAATTTCATGTTCATTGTTCATTGCTAGTTTACAAATATGACTGTTATTCGTATATTGCTCTTATATCTTGCAACCTTGCTGAACTTGCTCATTAGGTCTAATAGTTTTATAGTGGATTCTCTAGGGGTCTATCTATATAAAATCTTGTCATCCGCAAATAGAAATAGTTTTACTTCTTCTTTTCCAGTCTGGATGGCTTTCATTTGCTTTTCTTGCCTAATTTCCCTGGCTAGAAACTCCAGTACAATGTTGAATAGAAGTGGTAAGAACAGACAGACATCCTTGTCCTGTTCCTGATCTTGAGGAAATAGTCTTTCACTGCTAAGTATGATGTTAGCTTTTTTTTTTTGGTAGATGCCTTTTATCAGGCTAAAGAAATTCCCTTCTATTCTTAGCTTGTTGAGTGTTTTATCATAAGAGGGTATTGGACTTTGTCAAATGTTTTTTTTCTGTGTCTGTTGAGATGACCATGTTTTTGCTTTTTTCCTTCATTGTATTAATATGGTGTGTTACATGGATAGATTTTCATATGTTGAATCACCCTTGCATTCCTGGGATAAATCCTGCTTGCTCATATTGTGTAATCTT